TGGGGGGGGGGGGGGGGGGGCGGGGGTCGATCGGAGGGGGGTAGGGGTGGGGGATCGTCATCACGCTCGGGTGCGTTGGCGCCGTCGTCCGCATCATATCCGGGTGTGATTGCGGTGTCTTATGTGGGCGGGCCGGCGGGATTGTCCTCATCATATGCGGACGGGGTGGCGGGGTCATATTCGGGGGGGCGGGCAGGTTCGTCCTCATCGTATCTGGGCGGGGCGGCTGGGTCATCGTCGATGGGCGGGTTGGCGGGGTCGTCGTCGAGAGCGTCGTCGGGTGGCGTCGGTGGCACCTTGGTGGGGGGGCCGTCTGCATTCTCGGGCGCGTTGGCGAGGGGGTCGCCGTCATCGTTGGGCATGTTGCCCGGGGCGTCATCGAGACCGTTCCCAGGAAACGGGAAGTTCACCACGAAGCCGTCGTACGGCGGGAGTCTCCAACCCAACCCTTACACGGACACTAGGTTCGTTGGGGCCAACACCAGGGCTCCGAGCTCGTGGTTCTCGAGGCTGTTCACGTCGTCTTCCTAGAAGAAGTTAGTGACGCTCCCTTCCTTCTTGCTAGATTACGTGTGTGATCTTAAGCGTTTGATTGTCCTTGCAATGTAGCTGTGTTATCCTTTCCGGGGGTGCTTGTTGTCCGCCGGTCTGTCTGTCGACGGCTGAACAGTAGAAAGTGGCTGTGTGTGTGAGGTGAGACAACCACCGTCGGCGGAGATGTCGTGAAGAAGGAGAGACGCGCACACCTGCCCCCAATATGTCGCTTACTCTCTCTCGTCGTTTGTTACATGCCCAAGAGTGGGCCTGTGCCTGTAGGAAACCTACCAATCAACTCCTGGCGAGAGTCGAAATCGGAAGCGGGCTTTTGACAATTTTACGTTCGAGTCACCCTGCTCTGCTCTTTGAGTCCTTTTACTTTTTTCTTCGTGCTGGCCGTTCGTATTGCATACTTGAGGTAGAGGGGACTAGGAGGCGGTGCGCCGCACACACACACACATATATATATATATCGAATTTAAGCGTGCTTTTGATGGCTTGATGGCGCGGGGTGTCGGAGGGGGAGAGAAGCTGTATGACCGGCATAATGGTGCAGGCCGTCATTAGGATACCATTGTCTTTTGAGTCGGTGTCAAAAGTTTGGCACGCATGATAGGGCCCGGTGGAGTGACGACGGCGGGGAAGGACTTGTGGTGGAGCGCTCCTTTACACGAAGTTCCTTTGGCATTTTGTGGATGGAGTAAAGCCGTCGGAACGAGCAGTGTGTATAGGAGGGCCGGTGGGGGTAAAGAAGCAAGGCAACATGCCACGGGTTTTTGACGCGACAAGGCGGGAAGACAGGCAGGCAGGTGACAGACACGAGCGTTGCATGCCTTTCGCCGGCATGGTGCGGCAGTTTTTTCATCTAGCCTGGTGTGCAAGCGGTGGGTGCGAAGGTGTACCGATTCAGGTAAAAGTCAATCGACGGATACCCTGCGAATCGGGTCCTCCTTAACATGGGTATCAAGGCCCGCCCTCGTGAGTGTTTGATTGGCACTGCCGTTGGACAACGGGCGCCTATAAGCTCTCCGTATAACGTGCGTGCGTGCGTTGTTCCGCGCATGCATGTTGTTATTCGTCATGATGCTGTTGTTGCTGTCGCTGTTTCTGGCGCCGTTTTTTGGCGTTGTTGACGGTGTGTCCAAGGACTGACTGTAGTATGTTCCCGTCGTTTGTTTTGCACCACTGACACGGCGGACCGTCGAGCTCTTTCATATCTCTGGCGGTAGGCCAACGGCAGTCATTGTTGCTGTTTGTACCGCTACTTGTTTCCCGCCAGGCATGGCACACGAATTTTGTACCATCGACATCCGATCTGGCATTGGTATTCTCTTAGTTTTAGTATTGGGGTTGGTATCCGAACGACCCCCCTCAGACAATGCATGCCACGAACAACCACTCTTGACCTTGCCCAGCAGCAGGAGAATCACACTTCCGAATCAACATCGTGTGTCCTATGCACGGGTGGGCGTAACTTTACAATGTAGAGCCTTGGCCGTTTCTTAGAGTCGTTCCGTTTTCGAAAGAGAGAATGTGCATTCGTGTCCGTCCTTCTCTGTCTCGAGTGAAAGGAGGGCTGTTTTTTTGTTTTTACCGCTTCCACCGTACGCGATGAATCGCAATTTTCCTGTGCATGTGTGCGTGTTTATCATATATTAGATGTTGTGTGTTGGGAGTGACCCCTGTCCGTGCGTTTTTTGCCGGACAGCATATTGTTGCATGTGTATATATAACGCCTTATTTTCGATATCTAGGTGTTTTGTACCGCGTCCCGCGACTTTTTCTTTGAGACGGAAGGGATTACCCCACCAGCGCCGAACGGGTTGGATGCGATTGGTACGTACGGTATCAGTGCATCCTAGCAAATAATATCAATATACGTAGTAGCAAATAGCATGTTATGGAAATGTTAACACATAGCCAGTATGGGTCAATGTTCAGTAGCACTGCTCTTGTAATCGTAGATCTCATATATGTCGGTTCGAATGTCGATTCGAATGTAACGTATACGTATGTGTATGCGGAGGAACTACTCTCGCAGGATCCTCTGCGCGGTGCTTGGTAGCCGAGTAGCTCACTCTCTCGTGTGATCCTTCCGGATTATGTTGGCCACCTAAGCGCCAGTGTTCCGATATTTCAACATCTTTTTCACTACGTGGAAGGACTCTCGTCTTCCAGGCTACCCTCTCGCATGTGTCATCACCTCGACTAACGTCGACGACACAGCCTCTACACCACTGTGCCAGGGTATTACATAATATCCATAATAGGTTATGAGCCTGGATTGTGTGTGACTGGAGGCCTGCGGCGACGTCTTCTGCTGGTGTCGAACACTGTGGAGCACACACACATCTTCCAGCTTGGGTATTCTCCGCCGGGAGTTACCGTCGGAGTCTGCTTTCTGCTGGAGATCACACTGAGTCAACCCGCTTGCTTATTGGGCCCGGACTGATCACCTGGGTTTGGCTGCACATTTCGGTACGATACTGTGTAAAGCATTCGGGGGCATCATTTCTAGGCGTTGACTTCGGTCGGCGACTAGAGTTGTGCAGGTAGTTGGTTCTGCGTGCGGAGTGCCGTCCTTGGTGTTCTGTGTGTTCTCAACTAACTACCAAAACCGCCTGCGCGTGGTCCTTCGCGAGGCGTATAGTCTGTCCAAGATATCTCCCACGTGCTGAGTTGCCAAGCTTGGTAGTGTGTCCAGGCTGAGGATACGACTGCTAGCTGGTAGCCCACTGCTGCTACAGCTACGCCCACGTGATCCGCTCACGTAAATTTACGTGCGCGTTGTGCTATACGCGAGGTAGGTCTGTCCAAGATATCTCCCACGTGCTGAGTTGCCAAGCTTGGTAGTGTGTCCAGGCTGAGGATACGACTGCTAGCTGGTAGCCCACTGCTGCTACAGCTACGCCCACGTGATCCGCTCACGTAAATTTACGTGCGCGTTNCGGTACGATACTGTGTAAAGCATTCGGGGGCATCATTTCTAGGCGTTGACTTCGGTCGGCGACTAGAGTTGTGCAGGTAGTTGGTTCTGCGTGCGGAGTGCCGTCCTTGGTGTTCTGTGTGTTCTCAACTAACTACCAAAACCGCCTGCGCGTGGTCCTTCGCGAGGCGTATAGTCTGTCCAAGATATCTCCCACGTGCTGAGTTGCCAAGCTTGGTAGCGTGTGCAGGCTGAGGATACGACTGCTAGCTGGTAGCCCACTGCTGCTACAGCTACACCCACGTGATCCGTTCACGTAAATTTATCTGCGCGTTGTGCTATACGCGAGACAGGTCTGNGTGCTATACGCGAGGTAGGTCTGTCCAAGATATCTCACGCGTACTGTGTACCGGTGCGAGTGTAGGTTGAGGATCTGACCAGGCCTGTTTACATCCGTGCAGCAGCCACAAGTCCGCGCTGAAAGACGCGTAGCAAGTCTAAGCAGTACATTGACCCGTGTGCCTGCAGAACGAGGCCGGAGTTGGCAACTTCGTCGCCGCAACACCGCAGCCTAGCCACCTGCGGTAGGTCATAGCTGTGCTCGTAGTAGCGCAGTAGTTCGAGCGGACACTACATCGCTTCCGCTGGACGTGGGTTGTACGCTACAAAGCTGCGACCTGCACCAAGCCTACCTCTGTGTAGCATAGCACCGTTTTGTTCTGGCGCGCCGAACCTTCGCAGGTAATCGAGGCGCCCTACGTGTGCTGAAAACCGTTAACGCTCGGCGTGTGACCCTGGTTTCAGTGATGGCGGAATCATCGAGCTCCGGGCTCCACCGCATGCTGGACTCCATTGGGAAATGCGCGGGACATTCGGGTTTTCGCGAGTGGAAGATCAAGCTTCGACAAGCAATCATACTCCACGCGCCGGAACTTCTGCCCGTCCTCAACGGAAACGCGCGTCCTTCGGCGACCGCGGCGATCGCGGAGGATGTGGCCGCGTGGGACAAGGCCAACGGTCGCCTGTTCTCCCTCCTCTTCTTCGTGACCTCCGGGTCTACGCAGCTCACTGTCCGCACTCACGAAGGGGCGGCGGATAGTGACATGGGGGATGGGACGGCGGCCTGGAGAGCTCTCAACGAGCGTTTTGATGCTCAAACCCAGGAAGCTCGGCGTGCGTGTCACAACGAGCTGTTCTGACACCTTGCGGGCGGTGATCCCATCGACTTCTTCACAAAGGGGTGGGATTTCAAGCTTCGCCTTAAGGTGCTGGGGGAGGAAGTGTCGGGCCCAGTCTACCTGGACATCATGCTCTCAGGCCTGACCAAGGCCCCGGAGTTCAACTTTATCAGGGAGATGCACTACCGCGACAATTTTACTTCAGTAGACAGTCTCCAGGCGACGGCTAATCGCTTTTTCGTGGATCAGCAGTCGCCCAACGCGTCGGGCCCCGTGGTCTCAGGCCGGGGGGCTGCGATGGCGGTCGCGTCCGACACCGACCAGTGCCGCCGATGCAAGGCGTACGGACACTTTCAGGGCAATTATCCCCAACAGGTCCAAAAGAGCCGTCCTAAGCAGAGCAAGAAGAAGGGAGCTGCGACCTGCACCAAGCCTACCTCTGTGTAGCATAGCACCGTTTTGTTCTGGCGCGCCGAACCTTCGCAGGTAATCGAGGCGCCCTACGTGTGCTGAAAACCGTTAACGCTCGGCGTGTGACCCTGGTTTCAGTGATGGCGGAATCATCGAGCTCCGGGCTCCACCGCATGCTGGACTCCATTGGGAAATGCGCGGGACATTCGGGTTTTCGCGAGTGGAAGATCAAGCTTCGACAAGCAATCATACTCCACGCGCCGGAACTTCTGCCCGTCCTCAACGGAAACGCGCGTCCTTCGGCGACCGCGGCGATCGCGGAGGATGTGGCCGCGTGGGACAAGGCCAACGGTCGCCTGTTCTCCCTCCTCTTCTTCGTGACCTCCGGGTCTACGCAGCTCACTGTCCGCACTCACGAAGGGGCGGCGGATAGTGACATGGGGGATGGGACGGCGGCCTGGAGAGCTCTCAACGAGCGTTTTGATGCTCAAACCCAGGAAGCTCGGCGTGCGTGTCACAACGAGCTGTTCTGACACCTTGCGGGCGGTGATCCCATCGACTTCTTCACAAAGGGGTGGGATTTCAAGCTTCGCCTTAAGGTGCTGGGGGAGGAAGTGTCGGGCCCAGTCTACCTGGACATCATGCTCTCAGGCCTGACCAAGGCCCCGGAGTTCAACTTTATCAGGGAGATGCACTACCGCGACAATTTTACTTCAGTAGACAGTCTCCAGGCGACGGCTAATCGCTTTTTCGTGGATCAGCAGTCGCCCAACGCGTCGGGCCCCGTGGTCTCAGGCCGGGGGGCTGCGATGGCGGTCGCGTCCGACACCGACCAGTGCCGCCGATGCAAGGCGTACGGACACTTTCAGGGCAATTATCCCCAACAGGTCCAAAAGAGCCGTCCTAAGCAGAGCAAGAAGAAGGGAGCCAACAAGCGAGGAAGTGGTGGGAGTGTACAGCCAAAGTGGTGCTCCTACCACAACACCAAGACACACAGCGATGCTGAGTGCCAGAAGCAAAAGGAGATCCGGGAAAACAAGCAAAAGGAGCTTGAAGGGTTGGCGGCGAACCTGGCGACCCTGCCGTCAGCTGGCCATGCCAACTTTCTGCAACTCTCCAATATCGGGAGTGCTCACCTGGCGCAATCGTCTCCGACGGTGGCGCAACAGGCTCCGTCAGAGCCGACTTCGTTCGGGTTCTCCTTCAACGCCCTCGGAACTTCCTTGGCGGAGGCAACCTCGTCGTCTGCCTCTTCCCAGCCACCTCCGGCGGCGTCTGCCGCCACACAGGCGGCACCGGCATCTGCCTCATCAACGTCGAGTGCGCAGGACCACCGCCTGCCTTCAGGGTTCTTCGGTGCGTTCATGGCGACTCATGCAGAGTTGTCGCTTGCTCCTTTTCGCTCCGACGGATCGTCCATCCGGATGGTTGTGGACAGTGGAGCGACAGACAACTACCTCGACCCTGGGCTTACACCAGGATTGCGGGCTCACATGCGCGACGTCGAACACCTTCGGGTCCCACACACGATCGTCGCCGCGGGCCAGCATGTCCTCAAAGGCGTTACGACGGGGACTATCTTCGGGGCTGTCACGGACGACAATGGGAACGACCGGCACGTCTCCTTTCGCGTCATCTTGGTACCAGGGCTGGGCACCAACCTCTTCTCCGTGACATTGGCGATGCTAAAAGGGATGGCGACGTTGTTTCATCCGGACAACCCCAGGTTGGAGTCAAGGGACGTGGTTTTCCCAATGCAGACCCTCGGGGTGGACGCCACGACCGGAAAACGCATCTACTCCATCGAGGTAAAGCTAGGGGGTGAACCTGAGGGCCCGACGATCCTCGGAGACGCGCCTGATGCCCTCGCCTTGAAGGTGGAGTCCGCTGATCTCTGGCACCGGCGCATGGGTCGCATCAACGGTAAGAGCTTGGACGTTCTAAGGAAAAAACAGGTCAACAGCGTCGACTACACCGGAGACGTGAAGGACTGTAGTGTCTGCCCGCTCGGAAAGAGCGCACAACAACCTCACCCAAAGCAGGCCACCTACGGCGTCCTGCGCCCCTTCCAGCACGTTTCCGTCCACACCCTTCGCCCCTTCACACCTACGGTATTGGGCGGATTCAAGAACGCCACCAAGTTCGTGGACCAGCAGACCAAGTGGGCGAAGATAGTTCTCATGAAGGACAAGACCTGTTCTGTAGACTCCCTCGCGTTGTTCAGTAAAGGGACCGTGGTTCCTACCGGAGAACGCAGAGATGATTGCATCAGCACTAGCCATGAAGGAAGCAGTGTTCTGTTCTAACATACTAACTGAGCTAGGGTTCGGTAACGAGTGTGCGCAAGTGCCGCTGTACTGCGACAACACGGCGACGCTGCACGCGCTTGGAAACCGCTCCTTCAGCTCGAGGACAAAACATATCGCACTTCGCTTCTTTTACATCCGAGAGCTAGTATCGGAAGGACGGATATCGATCCATTACATCCCGACGGACAGCAACCCTGCCGACATCGGGACAAAGCATCTTCACAAGCATCGGCTCAAACACCTGCTGGGCATCATCATCAGCAGTTTCAACGTCAACGACTTCATCAGCAACAAGTTCAAGTAATCGTGCTTTTTGTTTGTGTGTTACGAAGTATTTCTGCATCTGTTCTGTTTGTGTGAATCAGCGTAGTCTTTCAGTAGTCAACATTCGGCCTCGCACCATCACTGGTTGAACGAGCCATGTAGGATTGAAAATTATGGTGCTTTGGTTTATGCAAGAAACAAAAGTAGGTACTTTTTGCAAGCGCATGAATATGTTGGAGCACGTGCAAAGCATGAAGTATCACTTGGTATGTGAGTGGTTGAAACGCATGAAAATGAGTTACGTTACGCAGGAAACGAGTACTTGCTTGATTTGATTTTCATCACTGTAGTTTGGTACAATTCAGAGCAACTTTCATTGAAATCGCATGTGTCATCACCTCGACTAACGTCGACGACACAGCCTCTACACCACTGTTTGTTCCAGGGTATTACATAATATCCATAATATAGCATATATATATATATATATATATATATATATATATATATATATTCATGTGTGTTTGTTGAGATTTCTGCTCCGGGTGACCTTGGCGGGGGCGAGTTGGGGGCGGCTTCCAATCCAAAATTTTCTTGTACGATTGCGTCATTATCGATTGTCCAGCTCCCGCCCCTACTGAAGGGATTCCGTGTGGCATTCAATTGCCGACCATCACACACATCATGGCGTAGAACACGCAACATACATGGTGCCGGGCCGCTCATGAGCAATAATAATAACATTGCGAGTGATGTACTGCTGTAGCCTTCTTTCCATCTTCCATGATTTTACATCAATATTATATAAATTCCTAAAACCAGCAAGCTGTCAATAGACACTGCGCCGTGTCCCCTGTGAAGGTTACATCTTACAGTACACGACACTACGGTGGGATTCTCCACGATATTTTGTCGTTGACCCAGTAGAGAACTGCAGGGGATGTATTGTAAAATGTAGATTTACCTATACAGATGTTTTTGTGCTTAGCACCAGCTGGCATCACTGATAAATCATCAGTGTATAGACTTATAAAGACTCGACATAAATCCAGTACCCAGCCGGTTTTCCTCCACTTACTGAAAAGACTCCACCACATCCCGTTCGACTGTGGGTATATCTCAAATGGGTAGTCTTTCTGTGCGTGTATTTATTTCTCCTTAATTGTTCTCACAAGAAATCGAGGCTCAGATATTGAAAACATAAGAAAAAAAAAAATGAACAACAGACATGCGGCGTATTGTGAAGTTGGGTTCAGCTGCCGGCTGGTACAAGCTGGGCCAGCCAAGAAGTCAACGAAATGGTTAGAAGCGATTTCCGAGCCGGTTTTTACGAATTGGAACCTGAAATTGTGATACTTCCTCTGTATCATAAGTTAGGGTACCTAAATGCAATATAGATTGTCTGGGTGCAACCGTGTTAGTGATGGTGGCATAGTCGAGTTTGTAAGAAAGATATAACAAAGAAGAAGCGATGGAAAAAAAATAAATAAAAACGAACATCTATTTCTGTACCTACTATTGGTCAAAATGTACCCTATTTTGGCCTGTTTTGGGAATATTTTTGAGAAAAT